GGGGGTGGGCGGGCTGTGAGTGGGATGGGGAAACAACTAGGTCTACAACCCTTCCACGTATACTGATGTTTTAAGCAGCTTTTGCAGAAATAGGTCCGAAGAGCCTGCGTTACTCAGCTTACCCCCCAACCACAACTGGCAGCTGTTACCACAGGAGTTCTCACCGCCTAGGTCCTCGCTCTCCACAGGTACCAATCCCAGGACAGAAACTCCAGGATCTTTCCACAAATCACTGGGCAGACCCTGCTTTCTATACAAACCCTTTCAGTTCAGGCCCTGTACACTATTACCATAGCTGGAGTGTTGGGGTCTCAAAGATCCTTCACAACCTGGCAGATAAGTGAACCCCCTGCATGACTTCACCGAAATCTATTCAATTAAATTTAAATGCAAGTACTTTTTTAAAAAAATTAGCTCAATGTGTAGCTGGGCATTTTTCTTCTGTCCCTCTAAAGTCTTTATGATGTACTGATACTTAGCTTACAGGTGAGTGCTATATAGTGAAAATTGTTCACACAAAAATCTTCTTGGAAGAGATGAACAAATCAGCTTCTCCCCCACCTACCATAGTTCGCAATCCTGTTCTCGCCCACCTATAGAAGTTCCAATCCTGTTCTCGCCCACCTACAATAGTTCCCAATTTTGTTCTCACCAACCTACCACAGCTCCCAATCCTGTTCTCGCCCACCTACAATAGTTCCCAATCCTGTTCTCGCCCACCTACAATAGTTTCCAATAGGGATGTTCCGATACCACTTTTTCAAGTACAAGTACTTCCCCTCATGTACTTGCCGATACCAATTACAGATACTTTTTCTTAAAAGGGACAGGTGACATTTAAATCCCGGGCACCAGGCGATACGAATTCAACACCGATGCGCAAGCATCGGGGCATTTTCACAAGTAGTTGTGAAAATGCCTTGCATCGGTCCCAATTCCGATGCTAGCATCGGTATTGGGACATCCCTTGTTCCTAATCCTGTTCTCGCCCACCTACTATAGTTCTAAATTCTGTTCTAATCCACCTACTACAGTTCCCAGTTCTGCTCTCACACACCTACTCTCATAACTAATTCTGTTTTCACCCACCTTGAAGTCTTACTCCTCCAGCTAGAACTGAGGTATTCTCACTCCTCTTGTATTGAATGAAATAAAATTAAACATTTAACAGGGAATTGTATAAAACTGGGAACTCAAGCACAGACTTTACAACGCCAGAGAACATGAGAATTGTAAGCAGCCCTTAGGTGGTTTATCTAAGTTATTATAATTTTGGGAAGCCTGACATATAAGTTTTATAACACAGTTCTAAAAGAGAACATACCAGAGAGGGGCGGCTTGTGGGAATGAAGACTACATGGTACACTGACAATAATCTTGTGCTGCGGAATAGGACACAAGTCCAGGTCTGGTTCCCTAGAAAGAGAAGTACATACTTCATAAATATACAAGTACTTGTAGCAATATTGTTGACCTTAATGCAAGTTAAAGTAGATGTAAATTCAAACTAAACAATGCTCAGTTTGCTAAAGTACCCATAAACAATTGCTATTTTTTTACAGATTTTTTTTCTCCTTTCTTGCATCTTAGCAATTCGCTGCTGAATCCCTGTAGCCTCTTTTTGTCTACATGCATGCACTCCATTTCCATAGCTTTTACTGGAAGCTCTTGTAACAGAGTGGAATCGAAGAGATAAATTGAGAGACAGGAAAAGACCTTTGTCAACCTATAACAGGAAGTACCTGAACAAGGACCTTAAAATTGCACTAACCTAAAATATCCCACCCACCCCCTCCACAGATGCATACTTACTGAGATCCAGGGTCTAAGACCTCCTGTGTGTGTCTAGTGGGCTAATTTCCCTGTGTCATTTGGCCAGAAGATGGAGGTAGATGAGCCCCATAGAAGTCTATGGGACTCTACTGCGCAGGCGAGCAGTAGCGGTAAACAAACACACAGAGGTGCCAGATCTCAGTAAGTATGTATCTGTAGAGGGCGAGAGTGTGATCTGTTAAGTCAGGGGAGGGGCACAAAAAGAATAGGTGCACTTTCTCTGAAAAATAACTTATCTTTTAATGGCACGATCACTAAGAATTTTTTTTAATGACACTACAGAGTTTCAAATTACATTAACATTACTTTAAGTGAGTAAACAATACAATCATCTGCAGCTCAACATGCAGATATATTTTCAGATGATCATTTATAAGGATTTTTACCTTTTAGCAGAATCCATATCATCTATTAGGCATCCTAATACCATAATTTCATAAGGTTTTTTATGGGCAGACTCCATTGGAAACACAAATTCTCCAGACTGGGTTATCTGACAAGATAGAAAACTCAAGCATTATCTCATGTCTTCAAATGAAGACTGAAACATGTAATTTAAAAAAAAGTAATGACAAGATTTTGTATAAACTCATAATTTCAGACACATTCTTTGCACTTGGGACTGGAAATAGCTTAATTTGTTACAATTTATTTTAAAAAAAGGTAATTGACAATAAAGATTAGCATAAAGAAAATGTTTGTGTGTACAAATTCTGAAATTACTGATTGTTTCTCACCAATGCTCGGATACAGAATGAGAACAAATAGGGGCTAATATGTGACAACCCGGAAAACAAAATAAAGGTAAGTAACAAGCTTTTATTTTTAAATTGGTATTAGAAAATTGAAATATGGGCTCTGCTGCTTTTAATATACCAGCCAGTAACACAGATAAGCCACCATAGGCTACTGCTCCACGCTCACGCTTGGGATCCTCTCCTCTCCATGAGCTGCAGGAGATGCCATTGAGTTTAGCCAAGTTTGTAGAGCTCTTTGAAGATTGAGCACAATGAAATCATGCCTGCACTTTCAACTGCCTTGTAATGCAGGTCTGGACAATTCCTGGTCAGCAGGGCCACTGAAAAAAACACTTTCTGGTGACCAGGTCATTAAGAGTTATTGCCAGTGGTAAGGGGGGCACAGAGGATACCATTAGTAATGTTATCTACAGTAGAAGATCGCTGTAGGGTGGTCACTGTGAAGGAGGCACTGGATATATGTGTCAGGGCTGTAGTGGACTGCTAAATAAGCCAAATAATGTCTAGTGAGAGCACACCTATTGCTGCCACTACCTACCAGGAGAATACAGAAGATGCTGCCACCTGTGTCATGGAGACCTGAACTGCCTGCCTTACTGAAGGAATGTGCCACTTAGACAGCTGGCCACCTTGGAAAGAGCTGCAAGCACCAGCTGCTGCAAATGGGAGAGAACTGTAAGGCGCTGTAAACCATGAACCTGACCATTAGTTCAGGTATTGGCATTGAGAGATTCCTGTGTATCCTCCAAAGGTCTATAATGGCCACTGACTAGACTTTGACATGGCATGTTTTTTTTTTGTACTGAAGTCTCTATATTGTGCACCACAACCAAGTTATCATTAAATCAGATGTCTGTTTGCTCCTAGTAAGGAAGAACACAATCTCTTTCTGAACATGCATAATATTGTTGTTATAGCTCATAGCAACCAGAGTTCCTGCTGATTTTTTTATAACATGAAAATCTGATGGCTATTGGCAGCAACTGCAGTTTTTGGGCACATTCCCTGGAATTCATAGTGTTGTAGACTCCACATGATAAAAGTCCGTGCTTGCGTCAGATTCATGTACCTGTTGGAAGCAGGTACATAAATTTGGTGCAATCACCACCATACACAGCTGAAAGTGTCCTTAGCAACTAGTGACGCTGACAGAACAACTGAACAGATGCATGAAACTGGAAAAGGGTTTAAAGCAGTTTAAACATCATTTCCACAATATGACAAATGGTCTTTAGATTTAGAAAATACAGTACAAATGCTACTGTCCATAGGGTAACAACAATCAGAAAATATTTTAAATTGCGGCCTTTGCAAAGTGATATTAAAGTCAAAAGGTTAAAAAGCTTTTTGAAATGCTGATTAAATCACTTACAAAGGATGCTGCTTCATGATGTTTAACACTGTTAGTTTACTGCAGAATCAGCTGGTTCCTCAGCAATGGCCCTGATATCCTGTTTTAGGGTGGCTCCTTTCTCTTTCGTTGTCCTATAGAGCCACCCTTGTGTGTAATAGTAAGCTCTGTGTCTCCACAGGCACAAGGGCACAGCAAGACAAGCCATTCCTCTGCTCTCTGTCTTCCTCTCCTCCCTTCTCCAAGTCAGTAGATGGATAGCTGTTGCAGACTGCTCTATCCTTTGTGATTTTGTAATGGTCAGAAAGTTCAGGGTAGCGGAGCTGACAGAGTTGGAGCCAGCTGTCTGGAAACATAACTACTGTAAATGTTTGGGCAAAAATGTAAAGAAATACTTTGCTGGGCAATGTATATTTGTTTGATCATGGAAGAGTACAACTGTTTGTGTGTCAAAAGTGGAAGATTGTGGGTCTACTACCGATCCTTTAAGGTGTATGCATTATATTTAGAAGCAAAAAAACAATTTTTAGCATCTTTTTCCTAATCAAGTAAATATGAAATGTTGAGCATCAACAATTAAAAAAAAAAAAATTCCCTTTACAAATGAGAACACATTTCAGGAAGCTATTTATGTAGAATTCTGGGTAGTTCCAAAAAGTTCTCCAGATAGATAAGCATATTTCTACATTTCCTGTGTCCTGTGGCTGGACTTCACTGAACAGCTGGGATTCATTCTGGGACCTCTAAAGATTAGCAATTGGATGCTTTCTTTAGCTTAGCACACACTACCCACCTTAGTAACTATTGGCCTAATCAATGATCTAATCAGCTTTTCCGCACAAATTAAATGTTCTCCATCACTGGGATTACTCCATTTCTGATTTCTGTTTTCTATTCTTATTTTTTTAAACTAAACACAAAACATTGCTTGGAGTGAAATTTTTAAACAATCCCTATCTTGTGCTTCATGACAAATACACTTAACTTACCTTTACCCAGTGCCATTCTGCCAGGGTTCGGACTGACCAATGTGGGTAGAGCTCCTCCTTTACAAACCTTAAGTGCTTCTGTCTGTTCGTCACCCAGGTTATCACAAGGCAGTTCTGAGCAGCCAAATCTGGTATGGGAAGTTGTTTTATATCCAGTGTGGATAAGTAGTTATATCTAGAAATAAACAAAGATATTTACTTGGAAAAAAATGTTTAGCCACCAGTTTATAGCAAAGCATTTCAATACGATTTAAAGATCAACAGTAGGAAGCAGAGGCCTGCTCAATAAATAATTCACTAGCTCCGCAATAAAACTGAATAAAAGACAACAGTGACATCCAGTGGCAGAAACTAAGAAATCATTCATGCTGTACCTATCTTGTTTCTGATCCTAGATATAGCTCCTACACAAATGTACTACTTCACTGATGACTGATGTGATAGCAGCGCTATATAAATTGTAAAAATAGATGTTAAAGTGCTTTCAGAGTATGTCCTTAAATAATTCAGCAGACTGCTTCCTTAAAATGATGCATTTTAAGAATGACTGTTATAAAAAGAATGTATATTATAAATATAGCCTAAGATATTCATGGATGAGTGGAGAGAAGGGAAATACTGTATACTCAGGCCAAAAGAGGACTGTTCAGGTTTAAGGCTTCCAGCATGTGTTAACCAGCTTGAAGCAGAACAAGTGGTATGAGTATAAGGAGTATATAATAAAAGTCGGCAAACACTTAGGGGTCTGTTTACAAATGTTTTCACACAAGATGTACACAATTTTCCCCCATGATTCCCATTTTTTTTCTCATTTTAATTCAACTAGATATATGTGAATCCCAGGTGAAAGTTGTGTGAATTTTGTGTAAAAATAATAATAATAAATAGACCCCTTAATAGATTTTCTTATGGAAATTTAGGAAGTTTTGCCTATGCTGATAGCTTTTCTGTGATGCTGCACCTGCACAAGTGCTCTCCTGAACACAGCCTTAGCACTGCCAGATGTGATATTGCAAGGCTGTGTCTGGGGGCTACCATAAGAACCTACTGATGCAGCAGTGGAGAGGGGGAGCCATAGTGGGCAGCTGGAAAAGAAAATTTAAAGAATAACTATGGGGTTAGGGCTTTTCCCCATAGCTCTCTTTAGGGTAACAGGAGGAAACAAACTAGCGTCCTGCCGTCACCCTAAGCTCAGTATACTGCGAGCTACGGCTCGCGGTATACTGAGACGCCACAGTATACCGTCAGCTACTGCTCGCATTATACTGAGACGCCGCAGCTGAAGCGGATCCCGACAATTATGTCTGGATTCCCCCAGCTGCGTGAGTGACAGCTGGCTCTGCTTATCTAGAGGCAGAGCCAGCTGTACCCGCCCCCTCCCCCGTCCAATCCGCCAGTCAGCGCTGAACACGTTATGGTAGACTACAAAACCTAAAAAATACAACACGTGGAAAGAGACATTACTAAAGTGAAAACATACACTGAGACTCAGGGGAAATAGGGAGAAAAAGGTATGGGGACTTGAGTGGTTAAAGGAGGACTATGGGGACTGGGCTTTTCCTCATAGTTCTCCTTAGAGTAAAGGGAGGACACAAACTAGTGTCCTCCCATCACCCTAACTCGCGGTATACTAAGACGCAGCAGCTGAAGCGGATCCCGACAATTGTGCCGGGGTCTGCCCAGCTGCGTGACTGACAGCTGGCTCTGCCTATCTAGAGGCAGAGTCAGCTGTACTCGCCCCCTCCCCCATACGTTCCACCAGTCAGAGCTGGAGGATCGGAGCGGGGAGGGGGAATCCAGCCCCTGCCCTGTCACGGCAGAGAGCCTTGACAGGATCAAGAGGTGAGCGAACGCTGGTATGTGTTCGCTCACCTCCCGATCTACTGAGCCGACCTGTGACAGTCTCATTGTCACAGGTCGGCTAGAACTATGAGGTGAGTAAAAAGCACCTCCTTTAAGCAACAGCTAAACCTGCTGCCGCTCCAGAACCCACCACATCACATCATATCACAATGTCTAACAATCCTTTACACCAAAAAACGACAAATACCAGCGCCGCCGGTTGCAAGAAAAAGCCCAATTTGATGTTAGTGGATACACAAAAGAGGCTGCTCCCACCGGTCAACAAGACCCTCGATCTGGGAAACAAAAAAACAAAACAGAGCGCCTCCATAGTGTAAAAGGGTTATTTATTTGTACGGCACACAGCTGAAATTATACTTACAAAAAGGTCGGTCAATAAAAAGTATGTAAGAGTCGATGAAATATGAAACTCTGACAGCGGGAGTCTCACGGGATGAAACAAATCAAAGTCCTCTGCCCCTGTGAGTTCGGAAGGTCTACGCGTTTCAGGGGCACGCCCCCCTCATCAGAACCTAAGGGAACTCTTCTGTATCCTGCTCTATTTAAATTAAAGGCGCTCTAATCCTTTACACCCACTGATGAGCTAATACATCAAATTATTTTTGTTTTGTGAACCTGTGGCTTCACTAAACTTACTGAACTACAACTTACATTGTAAAGGAGGTACTTTAAAGTGCCCAGATGTCCTATCTGCTGTCCTACTACATCATAAAATGTGCATTTAATGTTCTCATCATAAACAACTGAGTTCCATTTCGTTAGTTACCATATTGGTCACATGAGGATTCCATTATTGGTTACCTGACATATATATTGAGTACATTGGTAAATTGTAGCTAAAATAAAAGACTCACAGAGCTTTACTCGTTTTTCATATCTGTGAACTATGGTATGTCAACACCTTGACAGTACATGGTTTTCTGGTTTCTTAGAGACTAGGAAAACAAAAGTGCTTCTTTAGAGCTGTACTTGCCTTATGGTGTCTGTATACCCATGATACATGAGGATAAATACACGTTGAGCTGGGAACAGGGGCTCATTTGGAGTGATTAATAACACAGCCCAGTATAAGCAGGACTACTTTATTTTTAAATTACCAAGACGTTCAAGCAGCACTTAATATAAAAACAAGGGCTGACCATGGAGGGTATTGAAGGGAGCCCAAATCTGCTCCGGATGGTTGCTATTACAATCGACTTTACCAATGAATTGTTATATATACTCCGACAGGTACTGGAGCTTGGCTATTGCTGTACTGGCAGCCAGCTAAAGACTGAAAACCACTGATAAAGAATACAGTCCCTATGTGTGTGAATTGCCCTTTTATTTGCGATATGTTATTTTGTAATTCCTAAAGTTTGTAACGTACATCTCCAAAATAACCACTTGTTCTATTACGTGCAATTCATCATACATAATCCAGTTTATGTTGAATAACAAATCATTTTCAAGATGAGTTTTCAAAGACTGGCTCAGAGTAATGCAACCTGATCGAGGGATTTAGCCAGAGACAATTTATTATTAAGAGTGTTACTCATACTCTCGATGCCTTCGGTGTCTGTATCTAACTACAGGATTTATTCATACAAAAAGAAAAAAGGAAAACACTTGAAATACAAGCAATGTAAAAGGCAGAGCCCCACAGAATTCTGCTGGTGATATGGGATGAAAGGATTTCACATAAAGCAACAGTAACTTTCAAAGCCCCAAAAAAATTATTTGCCAAGTCCCCCAGGTCAAAAGTTGAAAACTCACCCAGTGTGTTGCTTAAAGGCAACAAGGAAGTGTAGTACTTTAGAATGTCAGGCCAGTAAGTAGATATGCAGTGGGTCAAAAGCATTTGTTCTATGTAGCTATGAATGTAAGAGCACTAGTACTAAAAGCTGTTAGACTTCAGATTCCTAACTGTATTGTGAGCATAAAGCTAAAATTCACTCTCTTACCACCAATGTGCACACTATGGGGGACAAATATCAAGCAAATTAGTGACATAACTAGTTGCACATTAGGCTGGCTCTCCTTCACCAAAGTCTGTGCGACAGATTTACAGACCATGCTTTCCTGAGCAGCCAAGTGAGACAGTTTGCAAAGTTCAGAGGCAGAATTATTACTGAAGATGCAAAAATTAAACAGTCACATAATTAAGAAGCGGTCGGGGTCAGGTTGTATTCAGTGGAAGAGATACTTTAAAGCATTTGAGGGAGAACTTATGCTGTAAACTTGTAATAAATCGGTCTCACAATTTGTCTCACTGCGCCACCTGACAAAAAAATCATAAATGTCCCCATTGTGTCTGCGCAGTATAGGAAGAGCTTGCAATCATTTGTGAAAAATCTTGAACTGTATGGGGGACATTGATCAAATAGATAAGTGACATAATTAGGTGCAAATCAATCTTCCTCTAGTTCAGCACAGTCTCTGCGACAGGTTTATAGACCTGCGTCAGTTTTCCTGGGCAGCCAAGTGTGACAGTTTGCATAGTTCTGAGACAGATTTATTACTGTAGATGTTTAGAGTGTAATAATTTTCATTCTAAACAGTCACATAAATAAGAAGTGGTCAGGGTCAGGTTTTATTCTGTCTCAGTACTATTTTAGAGCAGCTGAGGATGGAATGTAAAGCTCATGCTGTAAACTTGTAATAAATCTCTCACAAAATATGTCTCACTGTTCTTGTTTAGCATTCCTTTGCCATGCAACAGAATAGATACATGTCCCTATATGTTCTTTCCTGCTGTATGATGTCTTAGTGGCTTTTGTCTTGATAGGAAAATACTTAGGGAGTCTTAGATGAACATTACTCCTTGGGCTAGTAGGACATGATCACTATTACAAAAGGGATTGGAACTTCCTAATATACTGGAGATTCTCCATTGTTGCGAGTGCTCAGTGCATAGAACTAAGCTTAGGTCTAAGTGATCAGCCCTAACCTGCTGCCACGGCACATGACAATTCTCAACACTGACTAGCTGCTTACTGGACATGCGAGTTACAATCCTTCCCCCTGTGTGGTATACACAGCACCCACCACCTTTATACAATATGTTCTCTGGCAGCACCCACCCCCAACAATACACAATTGGGGCATTTATCAAAACTGGAGTAGACAAAATCTGGAGCAGTTGCCCATAGTAACCAATCAGCTTCTCTCTTCAGTCTGTTCAGTTAAGATTTGCAAATGAAAGAGAGAAGCTGATTGGCTGCCTTGCACATCTGCTCCAGCCTCTTGTGAAAGACCAGGATGAAGAGCGGTGTGGGGGCGGAGGCAGCTTTTAGGAGGCGGAGATGCAGGAGAAAAGTCAGCTGTCAAATGAGACTGAGCTCTCCTCCCCACACCACCGGCATTTACCGGCATTGCCTCCTGTGACAGTAAATCAGGATGGAGAGTGGTATACAGACACTCAGTGATCGCTGACTTTTTGTAAATAATTGAGGACATAGTATATTTACTGTGTTCCCCAATTATGAATGAACAGGAAGTGCTCTACATCACTTCCTGTTCATTCAAAAATAAAATATTTAATTTAAAAAAAAAAGATTTTCTTTTTTGGCTTTGCAATTTGTTTTATTTTTGTTCAGAAAATTTCATTTCGGTGCACCTCTAATTTAAACATTGTTGATGTTTGAAAAAAAAAAAAGTATATTTTGTATTAACAACACAAAAAGGAGCTGGAAAGCTCAACAAGAAGAGTATGACAACATTTGTGAAGTGCAAACTGAACCACAATTACAGGCCAATAGCAGCACCTCAATATGTGTCACCCCTGTGCCAGAAAAGGAGGTTTGATCTGTGCCAAAACCTGCCACAGGGCCATATGCAATGACAAGGCCCACACAGAGGAGAGGAATGACCCAGAACTTCCAACGGCTGCTGGATATTATCTTTACCAAACCAAATAGATAAAACTGGCGCCATGGTCACCACTTTGTTGTATCCTCAATCCAAACTCCGCTTGGGGGCAGCCCTCCCAACCTCAACCGGAGGTCCTGAAGCACATATGAAACAGAAAACAGAAAAAAATGCCTCCTCCTTGTGTAATATAATTTAAGAAAATAAAAATATAGATAATGGTAGTCACAATCAGGATGAGGACATGGACATAAACAACACCAATCCAGCCCTCCAAGATCTTTCTCTCAGAACTCAATTGGACAGCATAACCAAACAAAGTAATCCACTGTCATTGGACTCACATCGACTCACACAGAGTTCTGATGAAGCGCATAAGCACTAAACTGCATCACTTGTGCTTCATTAGACCTCTGATGAAGTCTAGTGACGGTGGATTACTCTGTTTAGTTATGCTGTCCAATTGAGTTCAGGCGGGAAGGATCTTGGAGAGCTGGATTAGTGTTATTTATACCCATGTCCTCTTCATGTTTGTGAGTACCATTATTCAGTTTAAAATTTCTTTTAATAAATGATATTACACAAGGAGGAGGTGCCTTTTTCTGTTTTCTGTACTCTATACATGTGTGCATGTCTGGATACATTTTGGGGTTGGTTTCAGGGGAACACAACACGGACATCACAACACCACACAGAAAATTAAGAAATAAGGCGACTACAACATCTGATATCACAGAAGATTCTAAATATCCTTTGGCCATAACAAAAATGCCTGAAGCTTGAGGAACAGATGAAAAACGCTTAGGAACAACATGTGCAGATGTGCAAAAAAAGCTTCCAAATCTCGTGAAATATGCTCTGCTCAGTTATGAATGGAGGCTGAAAAGACTAATTTAGTTTCAGAAAGTTTTTATAGCACCAGTCATTATTCTGTAACATAAATAACAGACATAAATTAAACATATAACTGAGCTGATTTACTCTTTGTTAGGTAGAGGAAACATTCCTTTGGACATTGACATTGGACAATGTCAGCTGTTGTGCCACGAATATAAAAATACATTTACGTATTCTGAACAACTACCTCTTACTCCTCTTCACAGACTTATTCTCCCATGGAGGATCAATGACAATGATACCGTACTTTTTATCTGGAAGGAAAATGAATAACAAGTAAATTACTTTTCACAGATTCAACTCTTAAATATTTTAGTTTCTAAGAACTACAGCCCCCAAAATAGTTGTTAACAGCAAAAGATGCGCTGTAATAATGTTACTGCTTTGTGGAGGAAATATGCCAATAAAAGTGATGGCTTACCCCCTTGGACACCCACTAGTCCAACCTAACAGATATACTTAAGAACTGCACCAACAAAATAATTGCACTTGAGTCATCAGAAAAAGCTTGAGTAGCTCCAAAACTACACAAAACCCTGGAGCTGCTCTCAAATGGATAATCACAGAATATCCAATGCACTCCTTAACTTAGAAAGAAGCACTTCTCATTGATCAGCACGGTCAGAAAAACTTCTCTGTGACCAATGAGTGCTTGCCACTTTCAAATGAAATTCAAAATACAGAGCGCAGGACTGCACTACACTGCAATATGGAGTGTGGATAGTGCACCCGTACCGGCAGAGGGAAAGAAGCGTTCGATGAAAGGTAAATATAGCGAGGTGAGAGGGAGCCAGATGGGAGCGGGTAATTTCAATTTACCAGATTCACCTGCGAAAGTAGACTTAAGCCTAAAGGTGCCCATACACCTTACAATTATCTGCAGATTTTCTGTGGTCAGATGGAAAAAGTGCAACAGATTGGCCCAGGTGGAGATTACTCCATCCACATAGTTAAGTGTAGATGGAGGAATCTGTTCCACCTTTTCCATCTGACCACAGAAAATCTGCAGATAAGTGTAAGGTGTATGGGAAGCTTTAAAAACTCTAAAATGCAAAATAAATGAGATGCCCACCAATTTATTGGTGTTGTACCACAAATAAATTTGGCTGAATGGCAATATTACAAATACATGTTTTTACTAAACGGTTCTATGGCACCCTGTTGAGTAGACTTTTAGGATATAATAATAACAATAATAATTAGGATTAATGTCAGAAGAAGAAAGAGTATAGCACAAAACTTAAAAAGCACAAAAGTCATCATATCTTCTTGGTGTAGCCCCTGAAGAACAAGGGCATATGTTTTGGTATAAGTGTTTGCATAAGTTTTTGCATGTCAAAAATAATGCATGCATTTGTACTTAAAAAAACTATGAATGGAATTTACTAAAACTGGAGCAGACGTAATCTGGAGCAGCTGTGCATAGTAACCAATCAGCTTCTATCTTCAGCTTGTTCAGTTAAGATTTGAAAATGAAAGAGAGAAGCCGATTGGTTACCATGCACAGCTACTTCAAATACTGCCTACTCCAGTCTTAGTAAATTCTCCTCTATGTGTCTTGTGGCTTTTCTAGAAGGCATAGCAGCAGAACTTTGGATTCTCTATGACCTATTGGTTTTAGCTCTGCAGACTGCAATACAATTTAGTAAACTAAACATGAGAATGTAGTCCATCACGGGAGTGAGCTCGGAGCGGTGACTACATTACAACACACACAGGGACCATGGGGAACAAAAGCAGCCACCCTTCAGAAGGAAGGACATTGTCAGTATGAATTCAGAGATGATTGGAGGATCTACAGCCAAGTGATACTCAAAGAAGTTACATTTTTGTTAAGTAAGGTACTAGAATGCATTTTTAGGATTTAACAGCTAAGCATGTTGTATATACTTTAGCAGTGCAGTTAAAATATTACACCTTTGAGTCTGGTTCTACACGACCTAAAACTGCTCTTTTCATACAAACCAGCTCTAAAACTCTACACATAATCCCAGTTACAAAATTAGATTCATAACTAGCAACTACTCCAATGTTTAAGTAAAACACAATTAATTTGCTACCAACTTTGGTTATAATGTGCAACAGGCAAACGGGTCACACTAAATGTCCTAAAAGATGTATACATCAGATGTGTATTATGTTAGGTCTTTTGAACTGTACAACCAAGTCATCTGGAAATATTGATATAGTTAGAAAAGTGACATTAAAGGAATGTCTGCTAAGATATAATCAAACACATCATCACTCCTACCTCTTACCCCTCAGCTCCCTTGAATGGGTGAGTATTGGCTTAGTAAGACTCTCAAGAAGCTCCACAAAAAGCTGCTAAAATTGGCCACTTACAGCTTTCAACTTTCCATTAAAAAAATGCCAAATTGCTAAGGGTCATTCTTGAGATTTGATGACCTGAATACATCAGATTGGACAGCAGGTTGAACTCTGCCGAAACCAAACAGGCAAACTTTGTTAAAGCATTTCTAAACCCAAAAGGAAAAATCTAATATATTGCAGCTTACGAACCCTAAAAGTGGTGCCTGCATTTATTTTCTTTGTTTAGGCATTTTTCCTTTTTCTCGTGGTGATTCTTTCAGTAAGTTTGTTATTTTTCAACTTCCTTAACAGACCAAACTGTCCAGTAAATTTGTCAGATAGAGAATTGAGAAAAACCATTTAACACTGAGAGGGTTGCTTGCAACTGTTAGTTTTTACTCATTTACAGTATGTAAAACCTTAAAAGAGAACTATGGGGTAACCTTTTTATCCCATAGACCTCTTTAGGGTCATGGTAGGACATATAATAACCTCCTCCCGTGACCCAAAGCTCAGTATATAGCGCGCTATTGCAATACTGTTAAGATCCACCTCGCTGGCTGATTGAAAGCGGACTCTGCCTATCTAGAGGCAGCTGTGCCCGCCCCTTCCGTTCCTTCAGTTAGCACTGGAGGATCGGAGGGGAATCCCTTCGGGGAACGATGACTGACAGTCACCGCTCTCTGCAGGGAGACCATCAGAAAGTAAGTGAGTAACGGTATATGTTGGCTCACTTCCCGATCTATAGAGCCGACCTGTGACAGTTTCAATGTCACGCGTCGGCTCCAACTATAAGGATGAGTGTAAATCACTCACCTCATAGCTCTCCTTTAATCCCTAAAGGAAAAAAAAATAGTGCTGTAACTGCTAAAAAAAAGCGTTAGCTTAGAAGTTTAGAAGCAAATGAACAGGTATCAGCAGCACTCAGTGGAAAATATTCAAACGATAAAGTCCATTTAATTGGACAAATCATCATACATGTTGCAACAATTATAACCAATTCCTGTTCATTTGCTGCTTGATATACACAGCGCTATCCGTGAGTATCACTGCAAGCACCATTATTGTGATTCGGGCCAGAGACGCTGTGAGGAGTGCAGGGGGACATATTGGACTTTAAGCGGGAGTTTAGAGTTAATTTGTTAGTCATGTCCATCTAAATCAGCTAGTTAATTTCACACGACCCTATTCAAATTTTTACAATGCTGTAAAAATGCTCTTCTATAGAGTAAAGGCACCCAAGTCATGAAGTGTGTTACTGGTTGGATAACCAGGTGAAAATAAAGGAAAACAAAGCGTGTAAAAAAAATAAAACGAATACAGTCAACACATTTTAATGTTTGGCAATCTGCAATTATATTTTTGAGTTTAGCAACACTTTAAGGAAGTTTTTTTACTTTTAACCACATTTAAATATCTGTTGCTTGTTGTCTATTTTATAATATATTTTATTACAGTTTCTCTTTCTTTTCATTAAAACAATATTTAAAAATTGTTAAGCTGATTCTTTGAATGCTCTAACCAAGGAAATAAAGAATGTCCTGTTGTGACTTGGGATTTCCATGTGGGATCCCCCTTTTCCCATTTATTTTTCTTTTACCTGCTTTTCTTTCTTTTTTGGGTGATTTTTCCCCCCTGTTTTTAGTAGAAGTTTGCATTTTCCTAAGAAATGAAGGAGTTCTCTCTTAACACTGTTATTTTCAGCAGAAGATAGCGGCATTCTCTTTTATTGTTTTTTGAGTTCGTTGAAAAGTTTTTTTCTGTTTGCTTGTTAGTTCTTTTGTAATTTTCCTTTTATGTCTGGCTGTTGTTTTTATTTATTTTTGGATCCTTTCAAACATAATTTAGATTCCATTTCATCTGGTGTTTTCTAGACATGCTCGTAAGATACAGTGATAAAAAGGTGTGCAGTTGATGGCAGGACCCTGAACCTAAAGCTATTGAAGCTTGAAAGCTAAAGAACAATGCACATTACTGGCAAGTAAAAAAAAAAAGTAAACCTAAAATATACCATGGGATCTAACACACAAACAATGGAAAAGTATTCTTTGTTGATACTTTTTATCTGCACCCAATATCAGAACCTGTGTGGCAGTGATTGATGTTCTCCTACCCCCTGCAATTCTATGTTCTTGTCACATTCCTGATAGATCAGCTTCAAGGAGAATGGAGTGTAAGGGTGTAGGCTGCAATATAGAGTAAACTTGTTTGATTTGCATCTCAAAGGGTAAAATAACAATGCTGCAAACAAATATAAATAATACATTTTAAAAACAGAACTTTAAGCTTGTCATATATAACAAAAAAGGAAATATCTTTCACAAAAACAATACATTTCTGGGGTATATGTTTGAATTGCACCGTTGATTAAAAAAAAAAATCATCTGCCAAATTTGCATGTATTTTAGTCTCAGAGAAGGCTTTCCAGACACATAAATATTTTCTACAGAACCCTGAGTGACAGGCTGAGACAACACCTCTAGCAAAATACGATGCTTTTGTACACTCAAGATAATGTTATTTGCCAATTCTATAAAAATATTGATAGTGTGGCCTGGCACACAAGCCAACAGCAGGAGCCAGTGATATCAAGGAGGCAAGAATAAGATTAGCAAACATCACAGTCCACCTGGGATTCAGAGGATGACAGATTACTTTATCCCTTTTCCCAAAAACACTGCTCTTCCAGTTTGTAAAACTATTGAAAAAGTGCCTTTACAATTTACAATAATGGTGTTATGATTTATATATCATCTCCCAAGACATCACCAAGCATAGGTGATATTAGCACAAACTCCAGCCTAAATTGCCAGCTTTCCCACAGATTAGCAAGTTATTCATTAAAGAAGAACTCCGGACAAATAAAATCTTAACCCTTGCAGTGGGGTTATCCCGCCGTGCAAATGTTAAAGTGACATTAAAGTCACAAATCTGGCCAGCTCAGTGTGCTTTATATAGCTGGCATTCAGCCTTCTGCTATAAGCTCATGGTCACTTCACCAACCATAAACTTATAGTAGAAGGCTTCCCCTGACCGTACCCTGTAATTGAATAGCGGTCTTCAGCGAACATAGTCACTATGTTCACCCTGATGAAGGGACCCTGCGTGGTCCCGAAAAACATAGGCTATACAATGTATGTGACATGATTCTTCAATAAAAACACAAGGATTTAAGCTTGAGAGCTGGTGACCCTCATTGCTGTTAACTTTGGATACGCACGGCGCCATCTGTGGACATCACTACAAGCACCACTGCTAATGTAAGCATACCAGGTCTTGATTGCTGTAAGAAGTGCAGGGGATACCTCTGGTTACCATGTAACTAAACCGGACATTATGCCTGTTTGCTTGGGACAGTAACCTGACTTCAGTTTGGCTTTTTAGAAAAAAGTGACGTATTTATATACTTCCTCCAATCTTGACACATAGAAGGAATACAAAAGACATGCTGCATTCTGAATCTTTTTCTATTCTTTATAGTGTAATACTGAAAATTTACAGAGCACACAAGAATCATAATCTATAGAGATTAGTAAAAGATTTCAATGTTCTTTAGTCATCTGTTGTCTCAAATGACAATACAAATTGCAGATGTCTTTCTATTGTCTGAAACAAAAGGAAAACATTGCTCTAACATTGAAATACATTCTCATGGACATTCATTTAATTAAAACCAAAGTATTGTTAGTGTTTAGAATTATCTGTAAGGCTCAAAACATTCATCTTTATAGAACAGTTCAAGTACAGTGAGAAGTTAGATGAATGAACAAAGTACTTTAAAAGCATGTTTCTAATTATTAGGTTTCATTTTGCATCAACACACATCTGCCGAATAATGTAAAGCATTACAGCTGCTTAGCACAATGGTTCTAATGCTGAATATGTTGTCAGGTAGGGACTTGTAACATTTATCTACTGCAATTACTTTCATTGTAGGTGCTACCCCTTCTGACCACTCCTGGCTTGGCACACCACAGTTGGGTGACAAGGATGGGGTCAGGAAGAAATCATCAGTAGCTGTGCTATGTCTCCTCCTCACTGCCTTGGTCAGATGTCACCAAACATTGGGCCGTGTAGTGTATCTGTATGCACTTTATAAGCAAAAGGACCCCAAATCTACCACATCTGAGCAGCATATGAGGCTTGGGACCTAATGGACATTTGTGTACTTACTAGGACACAGTATGAAAATAAGAGTCCTCTTTCTAGCACTGCATGCTAAACTTATAACTACCACATTTTACAGTGGGCAGGTGGCTACAGGCACTGTATCAAACACGCTTAAAGAGAAACTCCAGGAATTTTCAAATTAACCCTTGGAGTGGGGCTAAGGGTTAGGTGCTCATTTTGATCTGAGGGTGAAAATGAAGAAAAAATCCTCACTCTCACCTGGGTGCTAGACTGGTCCTGGCAGTATCTTTCTCCCTAGGCTCCGGCAGTCAGAGGACCCATGATATCATCACGTTTAATGAGGACCCAAAGGGACATACCACCGCTGGAGAGAAGGGGAGAGAGAGGTGAGCGCTGACTGCCACAGAAACGAGGATCAGGTGAGTATATATTCTTTATTTTCTTCTCTAGATGAAAAGGAGCACTGCAATGTAACACACTGCAAGGGTTAGTTTGAAAAAATCCTGGAGTTCTAGGTTTCAAAAGAAACGCATGACCAATTTACTAAAGATTTTATATTAGATACATCTGAGTGTGGCTCAAATCAGAAGAAACATTACCAAAAGCATCCAAGGTACTTACAATGTAGAAGGGGTTCCATGCAGGAAATGTCTGACAAAAGGAAGCTACTTTTCGGTGGTACAAGATATTTCTCTCCCAGAAGATGAATGACTTGTGTCCACTCTGAACTGTTCTCTGTAATGCGTGATAGCCAGTCCATGCTTTCAGATGATTGCTGGTCACTACCAATGATGTTCACAGTGTGTTCATAGACACCCAGAGAAGACAGCTCCTTGGTCATATTGCAGAGTTCAGCCAAGCTACTGCTCCGCATACAAACTGCTGAAGTAACTTTTCCATGTTCCTCTTCATTCTGTGTGTAGGCATGGAGCTGTCCATTCTTCAATCCCTCTTGAATCAATACCTGTGATGCTTTCAAAATTAAGTCACATATCTGCAAGACAATAAATGTCCCAAAAAATGAATATAGCAGTATAAAAAGTCAAAAAATGCCAGACATTTTATTAAAACTCACACTCCTAAAACTCAATGCTTTCCGATGTGTGCGGCAAGCAGAGGCGATGCTTACCCACATTGTACATGGTACTTGGAAGGACAAAGAATGTTTAACACCACCATGGGGAAAAGCATGCTCATACTCTTACCAGTCAGAAAGTTTTAAAACAATCTTCAACATCTCAATAAAGGGGACTTCCAAGGACTCAAATCTACATGTAACCATGTAACTGAAAAACGATCCTTTATCTTAGGGGTAAGCAACCTCAGAACTCCAGCTGTGGTGAAACAAATCCCATCATGCACCTGCTCTCACATGCATGCCATGCATGTAAGAGGCTTGCAATGCATCATGGGACTTGTAGTTCCACAAAAGCTAGCATGCTGAAGTTGCCTGTCACTGCTTTATCACCTCAGATTGGGAGCAAGATCCAGATGTGCAAATTGTTAAATTACAACAATAAAATCACTCATAAGCCATAAGAAACAAACCCCCCAGAGGATAATGATAAGGCCTGGTTCACACCTAGGCGGATTGCATATGCGCGTCTGTCGCACGGTATTTTTAGTAGCCCTCGGAAACGCGCAACAAAAACGACCCAAAGTAGTACATGTACCTTTTCAGGCGTGGGCTGTTTTGTAGCGCGTTAGGGACGGGCTGAAATACGCCAAGGTGTGAACCAGACCCATTGAATACAATGGGATTTAGATGTTTGAGCGTTTTGTAGAGCGTTCGTCGAGCGTAGAGCGCGCTACAAAACGCTCAGGTGTGAACGAGGCCTAAGGTTACTTAATATAACTTAACAATGCTTTTCAATAACTGGAATACCCTCCCTAAATGAATTATAAGCAGACTATATGTAAAGCCATTCCAAACATCCATTGGACCTCAATAGGTAAATATCTTCAAAAGAAATCTAATATATAGTTGATAGGTGTAAAACAGAAATTTTAATTGTTTGAATGCAGTCCCAGGTGTTAATCTAACACAGGGGTGCCCACAAGGTCGATCGCGATCTACCAGTCGATCGCGTAGCGATCAACTTGTAGATCGCCATGTCCTCTCCTACCGCCGCTTCTCTGGATCCCCGCTGCTCTCCCCAGCGGGGATCCGAGAAGAAGTGAAGGAACCGGCGGCGGGGGTGGGCGGAGGACGGAGCAGACTGCCTGCGGAGCCTGGCTGCGGTGCCATTGACTTCAATGCACCGCCACGCCCCCTCCCGTCCCTGAATGCAGGTGTTTTTTCGTTGGTAGATCTCAATGAGCTCGTCATTTGAAAAGTAGATCTCCAGACGAAAAATAGTGGGCGCCCCTGATCTAACACATTGCAGGGTACATGTGTTGATGTGTTGCAGTGCTAATTTTTTCTCATTCCATAGATCAATATTCCTTTATCTTTGGATGCCTCTAATCCAAACAGACCGATATGCATAGTCTAATTTGGTATTGGTGTAACTTGCCTGTGGCACAGAGAGATAATCTTACATATAGTCGGTCCAACTTTCAATGCTAATCAGGTGCTCATAGCAACATGTTTTTGCATTAAATCATAAGCAATCAGCTTGAAAGAATCGGCATTCATCTACCCGATATATAGATCTCAGAGGCATAAGGCCCCTATTACACGAGCACCTTCGTTTCCAATCAGCAGGGGATTTGTGTACGGATCCCCTGTTGATCAGAACAAATGTCATCTTGTGATGGAGGAAAAAGCTGAAATTACTGGTTGAATAGGATGTAAACAGACTTGTGTCTGTTTACATCAGACTACCCCTGATCTGCCACAATCAGGTCAGCTGAAATGGAACTCTGATCCTTTTTTCCAGACCTGGCCAAAGTCGGGGGTAATTGGATGTAAACAGATGCACGTCTGTTTAGATCTGACTGCCCTAAGACTTACGTTGGCCATACACTGTTCTATTTTTTTCATTCAACAGATTCCTCCATCAACGCCTACGAGCATTGATCGAGCAATCCCCGCTGTTTCCAGCAGCCGCTGTCAGAAAACCTGAACATTGGGTGCTGGCTCTGTTCGTTTGATGATTTTCTGAGCGGCTCCTTCGATCAGCTGATTGAGGGATACCGGCCGAAAGGGTGCCAACAGCGGCACCCACTGTACGAATTTTGCCCTGTTCCTGAAGAACCATCCAAAATTTGCACAATAACTTAACATCGGGCTTCCGATCAGATCCGCCTGAAAAAAATAAAGGCGTACCAGATCGGAAAGCCCGTGTGAAAGGGGCTCAAGATCTCTAAAAAGGTTCCACTTATATAAAGTATCAATTGCATTTATATCCAATAAAGTTTAGCCAAAAATGGGAATCGGCATCAAAGTATCGTGTTGTGCCAGATATATTGTCAGTGATAGAAAACAAAGTTGGCAACAAAAAAATAGCACAGTCGAGGGTGATCAGCAAAGCGTGTTCAAGTCAAGCAAAAAGCATCCTCAGGGGATTTCCTATTGTACTGGTTGATTGAACAAACTATGACCAGTTTCCCCCAGACTCAGCTGGCTACTTCAGGATAGATTAAATACAATTTTTTTATTGTTGTTACCATAAGGTGACTCTGGACTCACGCTCTAGGCTCTGTGGCTGCGCTGTTTACCTTTTTTTTTTGAGCATTTTATATTTCAGTCAGAAAGTATATTACCCAGGTGACAGAAATGTCCACTTCTGGTATCAGTGCCCATTTAAAAAAAAAAAAAAGCCTCATTACCTTCTGGTTTTCTTAGAGGGCAGAACATCACCAATCTCGGAGAAAAAAAATGAAAAGGACGCATTCCCATAACCCTCAGGGAGGTAGGAAAGATTCTAAGGCTGGCCATACATTATTAGAATTTCAGCAGATTTACAGGAATTGGACGAAACTCTTAGTCTTCTTGAGTAATTTATTCTCAAGGATCACAACATAGACTCTAAAGTCTCAAACAGATAGGTGGCAGGCTTACCACCGCTCTGAAAAGTGTTCCACGGTGGAATGATGGTTTTCAGAGAGCAGTAGAGCAACAGCTGCCCCACATTCAGGAAGCGATACTGCCGCCTCCAGAAAGCTGGTTTTAGGTTTTTTGATCCCAATGGGGATTTCCTATTCCTATTCCTACTGGTTGAGAAGCGACACCACCTGCCAAATACGACACGCGGTTTAAAGTTTGCCATGGTGACAGCATGTGTGCAAGAATAAGCAGCCACTATATTAAGCTTTAGATGGATGTCAGGGGACAGTAAAATACACATATCAGCCACCTGTTCGTATTGCCCTTACATGTGAGCGAGGCCTAAAGTCGCTTTCAACCGGCTTCTAACAACATACAAGAACCTGGTGTGTGTTTCCGTTACAAGGCTGGCAGGCTGCCAAGATTCCGCTTCTATAGAAAGTTAAAGGAAAAGAAGATGTAATTTTTGTGTCTCTGTTGTGCATTCTTAACAATTTTGGAATAATGTCTATAGCTACAAAGGTGAATGAGGAGCTTTCTAATGAAGGGGTATATATCGGCATTAATCATGTGTTTTTTGTAAGTTCTAATAGGTCATTTAGGCTTATTTGTGTATATTATGCATTTTTCATAAAATGCAGGGCTCTTCTGAGCCCAAAACAAATAGATTTCCTGATTATACAAGCAAGTGGTGGTGTAATAGAAGTCTTCATAACGGACATTACCCTGATCAGCCATAACACTGGTGCAGTGAATAACATGGATTATCTCATTACGATGGCACCTGGTAGTGGGGGGATATATTAGGCAAACATTTTGTCCCTGAAATTGATGTGTTAGAAGCAGAAATAAGTGTAAGGATTTGAGCAACTTTGACAAGGGCCAAATTGTGACGGCTAAACGACCGGGTCAGAGCAACTCCAAAACTGCAGCTCTTGTGGGATGTTCCTGGTCTGCAGTGGTCAGGACCTACCAAAAGTGGTCCAAGGAAGGAAAACGAATGAACAGGCGACAGAGCCATGGGCAGCCAAGGCTCATTGTTGCAGGTGGGGAGCTAAGGCTAGCCCATGTAGAGCAATCTAACAGAAGAGCTACTATAGCTCAAATTGCTGAAAAAGTTAACCGTGGTTCAGATAGAAAAGTGTCTGAACACACAGTGCATCACAGTTTGTTGTGTATGGGGCTTTGTAGCTGCAGACATGGTCAGGGTGCCCATGCTGACCCATGTGCACCACCAAAAGCACCTATAATGGGCACGTGAGAATCAGAACTGGACCAACGTGCAATGGAAGTAGATGACCTGGTCTGATGAATCACATTTTCTTTTACATTATGTAGATGGCCGGGTGCATGTGTCTTGCTTACCTGGGGAAGAGATGGCACCAGGATGCACTATGGGAAGAAGGCGGCAGAGGCAGAGTGATGCTTTGGGCAATGTTCTGCTGAGAAACCTTGGGTCCTGCCATCCATGTGGATGTTACTTTTACACGTACCACCTACCTAAACATTGTTGCTGACCAAGTTCACCCCTTCATGGAAAAAGTATTTCCTGATGGCAGCAGCTTCTTTCAACAGACTAATGCGCCTTGCCACACTACAAAAATGATTCAAGAATGGTTTGAGGAACACAAGTTTGAGGTGTTGACTTGGCCGCCAAATTCTCCAGATCTCAATCCAATTGAGCATCTGTGGAAGGTGCTGGAGAAACAAATCCGATCCATGGAGGTGCTACCTCACAACTTTCAGGACTTAAAGGATCCGCTACTGATGGCTTGATGCCAAATACCACATCATACCTTCATAGGTCTGGTGGAGTTCATGCTTTGACAGGTCAGGACTGTTTTGATGGTTAAAAAAAAAATGATTTGAGGATCTACAGCCGAGTGATACACAAATAAGGTAAATTTCTGTTAACAGTTAGGGTACTTGAATGGATTTTTAAGATTTAACGGCAGAGTTTAATGTAATTTTAAGGTTGATACAGGCTCCTAAAGCATCTGTTC